CCCACCTCCATGCAGGTGTCCAGACACCGAGAGAAGGCGGACAATGTCTGGAAAGAAGAGTCCTGGAACCAGTTCATGCAAGAACTAGAGACAGGGCAGAGGGTGAGTGTGCACAGGGGCCTCTGGGAGTGGACACAGCCCCAGCAGGTACACTGTCTCTGAAACATTCCTCCTTACCCTTCAGCCGAAGAAACCGCTGGTGGAGGAACCTGCTGATAAGTCAGTCCAGCCCATTGAGGTGAGTGTTGGTGGGGTGGGTGGAGTGGAGAGGGGAGACAGCAATGCTGGGGTGGGGGGTGGTGGTAATGAGGGAAATCCTGGGAGGGGTTCGCAGGCCAAGACCACAGAAGGCAGCCCGTGTCTGATGAAAGGCAATGTGGCCTGGGCCTGAGCCCTCCCGGCATCAGTGTGTGGTCAACAGCTGTGACCCCCAGGGTTTTAGGAGTTGGTTGCCTGGCCTTTCTTCCAAGCCTGGAGGCTCTACTGTGACCTGTTCCCCATGACAGTTGATGTCCAGTAAACCATAGTGGCCACTGTGGACTAGACTCCTCAGAAAGCATGGATGGGGGTGGGGCCAGGCTCTCCAAAGATCCAAAGCTCAGCCAAGCAGAGAGGCCTTCTGGGCGGGGAGAAGTATAAGCCAGGGCGGGGCCTGGGGGGGCGGGCAGTAAAACAGCAGCCTAGGTGGGCAGTGGAAGGGCCTGCTGCGTGGGGGCAGTGACGCCAGTGTATGGAAAGCCTGAAAAAGTGGGAGAGGAACAGGCGGCTGTGGCTTGTGAACAGAGATGTAGCCCGAGATCAGGAGGGAGGGCTCGCCGAGCGGTCCATGCCAGGGGCTAGGTTCTCTCTTGACACCCTAAAGCTCACTCACCCATAGGCAGGGGGCCTGGGCTAGCCCTGGGCCCAGAGACCTGCCTTTTTATCCAGGTATGGCATGCCCCCTCTGTCCTGCATTGTTCCTGAAGTCTCTCCCCTCACCGCCCTCCAGGTCCTGCTGGAGAGAGAGCTAGCCCAGCTGAGCGCAGAGCTGGACAAGGACCTGCGGGCGATAGAGACCCGGCTGCCCTCCCCCAAGGTACCGACCTTGGCTCTCAGGGATGTGGTTAAAATGTAGGGATTCCCTTTATCTGGGACGGAAAGGCAACTTCTCAGCAGGGGGCCGGACCAGAAGGCACCTCCCCTTGCCCAGGGCTCGGGTGGGAGGGCTGGCAGCGGAGGTGACCCGGGGTAAACTTCATCCTCCGCGAAGCACAGGGCGTTCCCTTTCCCCAGTGACCCCTAAGAGCCCAGTCAGGAGGATTACGTCCACGTCAGTCTGACGTCCGGGTGCCTGGGCTCCCCCTACCACCCCCTTGGCCGCGCCCCGCTCCACCCCGCCCTCAGAGCCCTCCCCCATCCTAAAAGGCCCAAGTCTCTCTTTTTCCAAACGGTTCCCGCCCACTGCTCCCCCACACCCACACCCAGTCCCGTGTGCGGGAGTCTCTAGGACCCCGCGTCCCTCCTCCCTCTCCCGCCCCTCCCCTCCCTCCCGCCCTCCCTTCCCACCCCGCTCCCCTCCCACCTACTAACTTTTCCGGAGGAGGAGGCGGCGGCTGCCTTGCTGGGACGCGGCGTCCCCGTCCCCCCACTGACCGGCCACACCTCCCCGCTCCCCGCCTCCCCACGCAGAGCTCCCGGGCGCCCCGAAGACGGTTCCCCGAGCAGCGGCCGCCGGCCCGGTGAGTGGCAGGGGTCCGGCGGAGGAGGGGTGGGACGTGGCGCAGGGCGGGCCTGAGGC